AGTGTCGTCTAACGTTGAGGACAAGGAAGTGCTAAGGCTGGATAAAAACAGATCACTAAGAATGGGTGCTATGCACGAGCCGATGCATACACCGTTTTTTTGCAAATACAACGCGTTGTCCCATGAGATAAAAGTAGAGGAAAGGTAAAAAGATAAAAGTTCTAAAAAGTGACTCAACGATAATGAAGCTTCATTTTGAAAGCGCGTGACACCGTAATCATCTATGGCATGTTCAATAGCAGACAACAGAGCACCATGAGGTACGAGTAATACAAGTCTTTTATGTCCACCGAGAAGGCTTGGTAACTGTCATGTGTGTGGTTATTCAAGAATTCAATTACCTGATCGAGTTCCTATCAAGAAAGGATCATTAACGGGTAAACAAGCAAGCTTGGCTTGAAGAAACAAAGCGACTGACTTTTGCCATGTGTCATTTTCTGAAATAATTACCCTCAACGGGACGTCTGGTTTGTGGGTCTTAGCGCTGAAGAGAACTTCAAGGTGACCTCGTCTTAGCCACGTTTGTGCTAAGGCGAAGGAAGCCATCTCCAGTGTTTTCAAAGTGCATGATCAGGTCGTTCCGACAAAAGTTAAGGCGCAGGCCAGGAAACTGTGTAGTAGGCTGAATCTTGATAAGCTAAAGAAAAGTGTCAATGACAGCAGACGAGGTCACCTTGAAGTTCTCTTCAGCGCTAAGACCCACAAACCAGACGTCCCGTTGAGGGTAATTATTTCAGAAAATGACACATGGCAAAAGTCAGTCGCTTTGTTCTTCAAGCCAAGCTTGCTTGTTTACCCGTTAATGATCCTTTCTTGATTAGGAACTCCGATCAGGTAATTGAATTCTTGAATAACCACACACATGACAGTTACCAAGCCTTCTCGGTGGACATAAAAGACTTGTATTACTCGATACCTCATGGTGCTCTGTTGTCTGCTATTGAACATGCCATAGATGATTACGGTGTCACGCGCTTTCAAAATGAAGCTTCATTATCGTTGAGTCACTTTTAGAACTTTTATCTTTTTACCTTTCCTCTACTTTTATCTCATGGACAACGCGTTGTATTTGCAAAAAAAAACGGTGTATGCATCGGCTCGTGCATAGCACCCATTCTTAGTGATCTGTTTTTATCCAGCCTTAGCACTTCCTTGTCCTCAACGTTAGACGACACTCCAGTGTGCAAATCTTTTCGTTTGTCGATGATTTCCTGTTTTTGATGGACTGTACACCAGTTGACCTAGAAGCGAAGGTTGAAGAAGTATTACCAGCGATTAAGGAATGTCTCGCACCCTTGAAATTACTTGCGAGCTCCCCCAAGTGCCTCTCTGCGGTTTTTGGATATCCGGTTGTTTTTTCTAGGAAATCACACTTGCTGGTCGTATGAGCCACGGGCAAATAAGCCTCTGCTTTCTTTTGTCTCGGCGCACTCTAAGCTTATAAAGAGAGGAATCGCAAACTTGTGTTTTAAAAACGCCCTAGCAAAATCGTGTCATCACAAAATGGCACACAGTTTCATGACTCAGAGTAAGCGTCTCCACCGAAGCAGGGTACCCTGTTCTGCTGCAGGTCTCTGTAGCTGAGCGTATCCTCAAGCTTCACAGAAAGATAGGCAACAGTGTTGGAGTGTTCGGGTAGCAGAATAGGCGTAATCCCATATATGCACACTGTCTCTCATAACTTGAAGAAGGTAGCCCAGCGGGCTCACGTACGTGTGGTGTTTTCAGCCCCCAAAAAACTAGGGGAGCTTTGCAAGTTGACCTGCCCAATTAGTTCTATTCGCTTAGTATGTGATAAGAAACATCAGGTTAGATATGTAGATTGTGTGTGTTGCGTTGTGTACGTGTTCTTGTTATCGTGTGGAAGATATTACATAGGACAGACTAAGCGGTGTCTTAATGATAGACTGCGGGAACATGCTTACAACGCGAGAAATAAACTTTCAGCGGGAGGGTTCTTGGCGGCGCACTGCAAGGGGTTTGGGTGCTCCCCTGATCTGTATAGCTGCACCGTTATCAGCCGGTCTCGCAATCAGCTGACACGTGAGATCAAAGAAGCCGAGGCAATAGAAAAAATGGGGAACTTGTGTGTGAGTTCACCTTCGATTGCTTTGACAGATAAGGAAATGACGTTCTTGGGATGTCACCACGTGCAAGATGAGTCGTGTTTCTACGCATGTATAAGATGGGTGTCAAGTGCATGAAATAAACAGTTGGAAGTTTAGCGCCTACCTGTCTTGACGTCTCTGTATTCTTTCCTCTTTCCTTTTCATATGTGCCGCGCTAATAGAAGCTAAGTTCATGGATAACCAACTCGCCCGAGCCACAACACTTTAGTACTAACCTATAACTGCCGCATCGCAGGCTCTCTGGAAAGCCAAAAGTTGATTCCGATATTCCAAGCTCTTGAGGACTGAGCTTGATTTGTGCTCTGTGAGGTTCTTATTCCACTCGTAACGAGGGGCATCGCCAAATAGTGTGCTCTAAATCGCACAATCTCCCGCTGTGAGGGGACTACGAGCTGAAGTCACTTGAGATTAGACAGTGCATGAAAGCAAGATTCGGATGAGAATTAGTTTGTAGCATCCTAAGGGTCATCGCCTGTAGTCTCTTGAGCTTTTTGTGTGGTGGAGGAAATACTCTTCTTTCCAGATGGAAGTGCTTTGTGAATACAATATTGTGAATAAAGTGTCTCGCAAGTCTTCAACCCTGCACTGTGACATGGCGTCTCCTCCCATGCAGGTATAGTTATGTACGTGTGCTCGAGAGTGGGCCATGTCTTCGAGGTTGGTGAGTGAGTCCAAATTGCCGGGAACAAAATTATCCTGTGCATAGTAACGTTCCTGTGTCATGTGCCTCTTCCACTATGAAGCCCGAGGCAACACCCTGACTGCCGATCTAGAATATGAGTAGATTTGTGTCCTCTTGTCATCCAATGCAATAGCAACCTGCTCCGCTTTAAAACAGGTGGTCCCAGGCAGGGAGGCTGACGACATGATTTGTCCTCTGTTGTCTACTGACACTTTGGCATAGTGAGATGAGCGTCTATATTGGGAACGATTAGGGATCATCTTTGATCTTCTTCAGGATAGCAATCGCTCTTGCTCAACGCCTTCGCTCATGGTGCTGCGAATGCATATTGCGAGGGATCGGTGCAACAACAATGTTTTCTTTTTGTTCCTGGGTGATTCGATGGCATCTCTCCTCTGCCAACATTGGCTAGAGGCATAGAATGACTAATATCATTCTCCCTGCCAAAGAGCAGGATAGTCGCGCTAGCTGGGCCGATTCCTGTGCTTCGATAATTTTGTCCAGCATATTGTGCATGCCTAATTGATTGACAGAGGCGCTCTGTGCTAGGAGTCATAGAAATACCGAGCACCCTTCTGATTCTATTCCGAATGAGGGCGTTAAGTTTGTTCTCGAAGTTGCTCTGGTTGTGCATGGCCGCTACGTAGATTATTTGGCTTATGAGAAAGACATAAAAAAGCAGAGTAATTAGTCTTTTAGTATTTCGCAGCGAGTCAGCATGCCCCACCATGTCTCACTTTTCTGTATGTACTATAGTTCTCATAAAGCAGGCAAATTGAAATAATTGTCGATATAGCGACGGCAGTGGCGGCGCGATATGGCAGTGCGATTGTGAACATCTTCGACGCACGCAGTCGTGGTTTTCCGGCCACTCTGGAGTTTTCGTTTTCACTTCACTTCTCAAGTGTGAACGCACCATAAGCAAGGTAGAGGAAGAATATAGAGAACACAACAGCTGGCCCAGGTTTGGGTGCCGTCTCTGTCTACTTCCTTACATTATATATAAAGGGTGTTTCAAGGAATGTGCCCAATATTCTTTAAAATTAGCAAAAGGTGCTATTTGCTCGCTGTTTTTACAGTATATTTTTCTGTAGCTATAGGCAACTTAGGACGGTTGAGGACATCACTTAGAGAAGTATTTAGAAAAGTTAAATTAATTCACTTTTCAATTAGCGGAGTTAGGCAGCTAAGTCAAATGGGAGAATTGAATTGTCATTCATGCGATGAATGCTCTGCCGCTTTGAGATATCGTAAAAGCGGCCTTTCGCAATGATTGCAAATTAATGAAATTCTCTTAAGTTCTGCAGCGAAATCGAAATCAAATGACCAATGAGCACAACAAGCAGACGACGACAATGACGTCACTGTTTAAAACAGCGGTTACAAGGCTATTGTTCTTCCTCTTTCGTTAACGTATGTGCGTCCTGAGATCTGTAATTGCGAGCACAGCACACACACCCACACTACGAAGTCAGCTGATGGTTGATATAACATCGCTCCCTCATTTCGGACGTCTCAGACGAATTTGGCTGTTGCTCGCTTTCGAGTTTCGGTATCCCCACAGAATTAGGTAGAATTCATTTTTTCGCGGTTATTACTAGAAACCACTTTTTGGAAATCTAAAAATGACTTAAATATTGTTCAATGGGTTATTCGCATTAAGGTTCTTGGTGCGCGCGTGCGTGTGTGTGTGCGTGTGTGTGTGTGTGTGTGTGTGTGTGCGTGCGTGCGTGTGTGTGCGTGCGTGCGTGCGTGCGTGTGCGTGCGTGTGCGTGTGTGTGTGTGTGTGTGTGTGTGTGTGTGTGTGTGTGCGTGTGTGTGTGTGTGTATGAGAGAGAGAGAGAGAGAGACTGACACCACAATTCAAATGTGTCTGCGGCAAAGTGAGCCATCGGCTCTCATTTTCTTTTTTATCTCGCCACATGTATACGTAACTTACAACCGCTTGCCGAAATATAGTGTTGCACTTAAAACCACTTCAACGGCGTACCCGAAAGCTGTGTGTACAAAAGCTGTTCCCGGTCTGTTTGGTTTCCGAGAAAGAATAATGGTGGGCAGAAGCTCTTGGGCTCTTTCTTGGGTAAACGAAAACTGGCGTCTTGACCGTAAATCTATAAACAAGAATTGATGAAGCTTCACTGAATGAATTACCCTCCGTTGATACGTACGTTTATATTTTTTTTCTACAGGAAGGATCGCCAAGAAGAGCCGGACGTCTTCACATCACCAGAAGTGCGCGTAAACATATCGACATAGCAGTGACAGTGAGCAAACTTTTGTCAGCGAAAATAAAGTGGTACGGCAAACAAACGTGATTGCATACATATACGATGCCGCACGAAATGTCCTTCAAAACAATCGACAGGTGAATGCTATCTTTTGCTTACAAGCCCGCCTATTTGCTTTTCGAGAATGCGCGTCGTGTCGCCCCAGTTATTGCTCGTAGAAGTCGACATTTATGCAAATGTGGAATTTGTCGGCTGCACCCGGATGTACAAGACTACATCACGAACGCGCGTAACTCTTTGTGAATGCAAGCAATCAACAGGGTGGCGAAAAGCGGAAAGACCGACTGTACAAAACAAAAACAAACTCTTTATGTCGCGAAGGTCGACTCTCTATGTAGCACCAGACACCGCTGGAGGTTTCAAAGGGGCAAGAGCTTAATTAATGTACACAATCCAAGCATGCTTCGGGATTTTAAGTCGAAACTCAGAAATTCAAAGGATCTGATAATGCTTCGTTTTGTACTCGAAAAGTCGAAAGCTCAAGAACACGAAAGGGTAGTCCGTAACGCACACACACACACACACACACACACACACACACACACACACACCACACACACACACACACACACACACACACACACACACACACATACATACATACATACATACATACATACATACATACATACATACATACATACATACATACATACATACATACATACATACATACATACATACTACATACATACATACATACATACATACATATGGTGATCTAAGAGCATTCAACACGCTATCACATATTCCTTTTCGCAACGCACATATCTTGAGCACATATTCCGCAAATCCTTGTACTGGGGCGATTTTTAGCGCATGGCGCACTGGCGATGCCCTCAATACTGGCGTGGCAATGCTCGCGCGAAAATATTTGTTTGGGCTCAAGATTTACTCCCTACTCAGCATCCAGGGGCAAGTTCATTGCTCTCATATCAGATGTGCTAACGACAGCATACTCTCCTTCTCCCAGTGCAAGAATCCGGTGCTATGCAGCACCCACCCATTTGCAGAGGAATGACACTGTTTAAAAACGGCAACGCCTGGCAAACCATGCCAAACACCACTTTATTTTTTTATATGAAACTGAATTAATCTTTATACGGACGGTTCAGTCTCGGGAAATTCCAAGGGCGCTTTTGTGATTCCATCGCTGTCAATCACCGTCAAGTTCAAGACTTCACACGTCACAACATCTATGGGCTCCAAGCTCGCCGCGCTTCTAGCCGTAATTAGGTTTCTTATGCGAGAATCCCCTGCTAAATGGGCTATCTTCTGCGACTCCAAGGCGGCCCTTCAATGTATGCGAAGTCTACGACGCGGCAACTACCATCAGATTGTATCTCAAATCAATAAAATATGTCATCACGCCACTAACAAAGGACGTTGACATTATTTTTCAATGGCTACCTGGTCACTGTGGGATATGTGGTAACCACCTCGCCGACAACGATGCCCGTTGTGCCCACGACGGAGCATCCACACTGTTCATACCCCTGTCAACGGTTGATGCCGCAAAAGAACTTCGCCATATCGCGCCTAATACTACGCTTATGCAATCCTCAACAGAAGTTCACTCGATGCCCACAGAACCTCGCTTCATTACTCCAATTACAGCTGCCATCAAAGACTTCGCGACGGAATGCTACAATGCAAGTTTCGGTTGTGGGTCAACGTTGCCATCACCAATTCATTAAGTCATCGCATTGGTTCGGCTGACTCCCCCAACTGTGATAACTGCCATTGTGTAGAAACTCTCGACCATGTCCTGTGGCATTGTCCAGACTTTGAAGAAGATCGCCAGACTCTCCTGACCTTTTACTCTGGAGAAGATATTGTGAGCGTGGCCTTCGAGTACTTCAGCCGAGAAAGCCACACGAGTCCTTCTACAATTCTTCAGGGCAACGTCACAGTGCGACCACTTGTGAAACTTGAACAGTTTGTTCGGTGTGTGTGTTATGTGCGATGTGTACCTCCTCCTCTCACTTTCTTTTTTTCCCACATTCCCCTCTCCCCCAAATAAGGTAGCAAACTGGACTTTGTCTAGTTAACCTCCCTACCTTTCTGATATGTTTTTTCTTCTCTCTATGCAATCATATGCATTCCTTTATCGCTTTATTCGTCCATTGCAATTATCCAGCGCAAACAAACACGTACTTCTCCCACCCACCCACTTAACAACACACAAACACACGCACACACACACGCAGCGTTACATTTGACAAAACAACACAAATACAAGATTTCATAGAAGTTCGAAGGAATAAAAAAAGAAGGAATGAAGAAACAGGCGGGAATGGAGAGAGGTTAGCCATGCATTAGACAAGCTGGCTGTCTTGTGTTGTGGTGAGGAGAAAAGGGATTGAGAAAGGACAAAAAATATGTTCAAAAACAAAAACAAAGCTGGCGCCCTTGCTTTGCGAGGCGTAAATATTTCACGATACTTTGTTCGGCTGAATGGAAACAATAGCAGTACTATGACACGACTTTTCCTCACGCATAGACCTTTCAGATGAAGTGGCTGCTACAATGTGAAACTTTGTTGCAGACTAAAAGTTATCACACGTTCATAGTCAACCTTCCAACCGTGCGACGCAGATTTGCCCTTTGCTATCTCGTGCTAAAAAAAAAAAAAGCAAACACTGCGGAATCAGGGCGTAGATGAAGTATATATAAACATTCTGGAAGAAATCTACAGGGGATCAACTGCTACCATAGTGCTTCATAAAGAAAGCAACAGAATACCAATCAAGAAGGGTGTAAGGCAGGGGGACACAATTTCCCCAATGCTATTTACCGCGTGCTTACACGAGGTTTTCAGAAGCCTAGAATGGGAGCAGTTAGGGATAAGAGTCAATGGAGAATACCTTAGTAACCTGCGCTTCGCCGATGACATTGCATTGCTGAGTAACTCGGGGGATGAATTGCAACTCATGATTACGGAGTTAGACAAGGAGAGCAGAAAGGTGGGTCTTAAAATTAATCTGCAGAAAACGAAAGTAATGTACAACAACCTCGGCAAGGAGCAGCGCTTCGAGATAGGTAATAGTGCACTTGAAGTTGTAAAAGACTATGTCTACTTAGGGCAAGTAATAACCGCAGAGCCAAACCATGAGATTGAAGTAACTAGAAGAATAAGAATGGGGTGGAGCACATTCGGCAAGCACACTCAAATTATGACAGGTAGATTGCCACTATCCCTCAAGAGGAAGGTATATAACAGCTGTATCTTGCCGGTACTTAGCTACGGAGCAGAAACCTGGAGACTTACAAAGAGGGTTCAGCTTAAATTGAGGACGACGCAGCGAGCAATGGAAAGAAAAATGGTAGGTGTAACCTTAAGAGACAAGAAGAGAGCAGAGTGGATTAGGGAACAAACGGGGGTTAAGGATATCATAGCTGAAATCAAGATGAAGAAATGGACATGGGCAGGGCATGTAGCGCGTAGACAGGATAACCGCTGGTCATTAAGGGTAACTGACTGGATTCCCAGAGAAGGGAAGCGGGTCAGGGGGAGACAGAAGGTTAGGTGGGCAGATGAGATTAAGAAGTTTGCGGGTATAAATTGGCAGCAGCAAGCACAGGACCGGGTTAACTGGCGGAACATGAGAGAGGCCTTTGTCCTGCAGTGGACGTAGTCAGGATGATGATGATGATGATGATGATGATGATGATCTCGTGCTAAGTCTTAGGAATGCACGCGAGAAATAATTTGTATAAACAATACGAAAGTTAGAGGAGTTGCGACATGATCACAGAAAAATAACAGAAAAAGAAAGAAAGAAAGAAAAGAAAAGAAAGAAAGAAAGAAAGAAAGAAAGAAAGACGAAGCACTTGCTTAACACGCCACGAGGAAGTCTCGAGTGGAGTGCGATAAGCTGTTTGTTAGCAATTCTATCACTCTTACCGAGCTTCTCCGCGCCCTTCTTTTAAAATGTTTGCGACTTCGCTCAGCAAATGCTGTTCAACGACAGACGCTCACGGCGCACACCTTTGCGCAGGAGTCTCAGAATAGAGTTATCGCTCCCAATAGGCTTGCACGCTTCTTAAGAAGTGATTCGTTTCAGTAGTTTTCTCGCTCGAACGGCGGTGAAATCTACAGGAGCGTCAGTGTCACACTTCGTTTAGTAACAGACAAGAACAGAGGGACCACCCACTAAAACGATACAGAAGGTAGGGGGAGACAAAACACGTTCGTTCGCGCCGCTTGGACGAGTAGGGCTATGCAGACGTGCTGCACACAACTACGGAGACGGGGGCGCGCTACCATGACATTTGGCAGGCGGCACACGCGTTTCCAAAACGCGCGTGCCCGACGCGCGCGCACGTACGAGATAGAGTCAGGCAGACAGCCAAAGCTTGCGTGTTGCGAGGCCTCGAACGGCTCGAACTAAACACGTCCAAGCACGCGACCGCGCTCACGGGGCACGAACACGACTCCTCCACTGGGCCGCGAGCAAAATAAAGAAGAAAAAAACGGTGCACCACGGCCGTGGCTTTCGGGCCGAGAGGGTGTGAGACAGGTAGGTGAGAAGGTAAGCGACCACGGCACGCAGTGGCAATGCCATCGCGCACCGCGCTGGGTGCTCTGGGAAATCAGGGGCACGGCAATGGAGGCAATCGGAGCAAACGAATCGGCCTGGTTCCGTGGGCGACTTGAGCGCGAGAACGAGGTAGTGGGTGCACGGAATTCCTGCAATGTCTTGTATATATCGGCTGGATAGCTTACTAGGAACGCGCACCGCGTTCAACACACACACACACACACACACACACACACACACACACACACACATTTATATATATATATATATATATATATATATATATATATATATATATATATATATATATATATATATATATATATATATATATATATATATATATAATGACATCTAACAGACAGTAATGCCAAGGAATGTACAGGGGAAGTTATTAGAACCAATGGAATGTAAATAAAAAAAAAGAAAAGTAAAGTGGACTTGGTGTCATTAGGTTGTATACGAGGGACTATTTATCAGCTGCCCACCCATAATAAGTTCACGTGCCCCGCCGCGGTGGTCTAGTGGCTAAGGTACTCGGCTGCTGACCCGCAGGTCGCTGGTTCAAATCCCGGCTGCGGCGGCTGCATTTCCGATTGAGGCGGAAATGTCGTAGGCCCGTGTACTCAGATTTGGGTGCACGTTGAAGAACCCCAGGTGGTCGAAATTTCGGGAGCCCTCCACTACGGCGTCTCTCATAATCATATGGTGGTTTTGGGACGTTAAACCCCACAAATCTATCAATAAGTTCACGTGGTACTTGACGCCAAACATGCGCATAAAAGAGTGTTTTCACACTCATCGCTTGGCTTATAGATGGCGCTGACTGTCACTCCTACTTCGAAATTCACATATAAAC